GTGAGATGGATGCTAAGAAAGGCAAATATTAATAAGTTGGGAAAGGAAGTTGTGGGTAGCTATGATTGTCTTCATCCCGAAGGGAGACCGCCCATAGAAGAGAACTAATGTGAAGAACAGTACATGTTTTAAACAAAAGTCACAGGTCCCAGTGTTCATTTTCCAGCCTGCGTTTTATGAAATTTTTATCACCAACCATTCGTCTTTGCATTGAGTACTGCTGCCATATATGGTCTGGTGCATCTGCTCTTCATCTCGAGGTCCTTCACAAAATCCAGAGACGGAAATGCAATGTGATAGGTCCTAATCTGGCATCTCGTTTGCAGTCACAGACGTGCTGTGGCTTCTCTATGTCTTTTCTACAAGTATTTCCATGCCAACTACTCTGGCGAGCCACTGTCTCTGGTTCCCAAACTGCATAAATTTAAGCGTGCTACTAGGTTGGCATCTAGTTCTCACCCTTTCACTGTCAACTGATATCTTCTGTTGACTTGATCCTGATCCCCGTTCTTCTCTATATCGTTTCCTAAAACACCCTCTTTACTACTGCTTTCAATTTCTGTAACCCCTTGCGTGCTAGTGGCACCCACACTTTATGCTTAAAAAATAAAATATAAATAAAAAGATTTTCCTGCATCTTTAATGCCCTATCGGTTTAAACAATTATACCACTCCACACATTATCTGTGATTTGCCATGAATTCTTGGGAATATTTGGGTTGTGATTCTCTGATTTCTCCCCGGATTTTAATTTAGAATAGTCTTCCTAAACTGAATGCAACCCTTAGCTAGAGGGATCAGTTTATACTGTTATTTAACCCATATCATGCGGAAGAAGATATGAATTCATGTCTTTCCCCTTTGTTAGCATTAGTGCAAAATAAACGTGAGACTTGGTATAAATTTGAACTCGGCTCGCTGATTATATTTTCTGCGCTGATGAATGTTACACTACCCGCATTGTTTCGAATCTATATATAAAATTCTATAACTTCCGTCCGTCCATCACACCCTATAAAATAGCCGCACATTGACCGATCGAAACAAAATTTTGGTTGAGAAGTGCAGGTAAAGAGGTACAAAGTACAGTTATTTTACGAGGGAGCTTAGCCTAGTACAATAAATTTACATATTATTATTCAACATGCAATATCCTTCCGCTTTTTTAAAATAAAATTAATGATCAAGATAAATATCTATCTAATAAAATTGCAATATTGATTTTTGCATATCTTTACGTTTTTATATGCAAGAATCCAGTGTCCATTTTGCCTTCCGTTTGCGAGAATTATAAACACATCACAAGGCCAAACACTTCAAAAAGTTGGAATTTGGCTCCAGAAAGGAATATTTACACTTGGCCAATTGTATGTTGCATGCTCAAGAGTAAGAAATACTAAGAATTTATTCTTCGTTAAGAAGAAAAAACATATATTTTCTTAAAATTTTTTTTTTTTTTACGGTGAAGTACTATAAAATTGAATTAGAGAAATTATTAAAACGCGGTGTGGTGTTTTGTCAAAGTATTTTTCCAAACAAATCAGCTTATTCAAATTTCATCGATTGGTTTACAAAATTGAACGAAATGTAGCGTTTGTAAATCTCTCTCAATAATGTTAGCGATAACTTCAATAATATTAAATATTATGAAGGTTGCAATTCTAGTATATCAAAACTACAGTGAACATGAGTTCTCAACAAAAGTTGGCTTTAATTTGGGATTCATGAAACGGCGAGAGTGAATACAAGTGTAACGACACTATTTATGTAGATTGGTTCACTTTAAAAAAATAAAGTAAAATTTCACCGGGAAATAACTTTTGTAGATTTGAATTCTTTCTTTCGGTTTTCCTCAAGCCGCGACATTTAACAAAATGTGTTACACTATCAAATCGATACCAGACTATTACAGTGTTATCTGCACTTATATTTTATTTACAAATGTTGTGATTTGAAAATGTGCATACATCATTGAAATCTGTGTATTTTTTTTTTTTTACTTTAGTTAATTTATTCAAATATTGGTTCTTTTAATTAAAAATGTAGCACAATATTAAAAATGTATACATCTGTTGTTTAATGACAAAAATCTTTTCACCAAAGGATTGCTTATTAAAAATATTTTCCTTAAAATAAAACACACACACACACACTATATATATATATATATATATATATATATATATAGTCTTAAGGTATGCTATATTTATGGGATAAAGTGCCCAATATCAGAGATGGAGCTTATGTAAATATAAAAGTGAATATTGAAGTCAACACTCAGAGGCGACAGACTGTTTCGTGTTAAACGCAATCATCAGGTGGCCTGACCAGTGATACAAACAACATGGTAAGAACAAAATCTAGGTCCAGAGTTAATGAAGAACCTGAGAATAGGAAGAGAAATAGGTATCAATTTATTATAAGTGGGTGTCAACCCAATGACGCTGGTGATGGAGAGAAAATGCCTACAAGGGAGAATTAGACTTTTAGACATACCGAAACTACATTTGATTAATTACTGTGAGTTCAGGAGGCCCGGATATGGTACGGTGGAAATATGTGAGAGTTTATTACTGTCATCCAGGCGAGCATCGTCTTGGTGTAATAACAAGTAAACTTATCTTGTTAGATTGATTCTCACGAGGTGACACTTACTAGTAACTCATTGCTAACACTAAACCATGTAAAGTAAATAATTAGCGAATTTGACAACTTAAAAGATGCATGCGCCTATTAGACGCACCCCTATTTAGTGTATTTAAGGAAGCACGTGGATAGCGGCTCAAATTGAGGAATCGGAGAGACGAGTTCGAATTCCAGTCGAATCCATTACATTCACTTACGTGCTAATACTCTTGGGAAAGGTATGAATCCTATTTTTCTTCCCCCCCCAGCTATGGGTAAATAGTAGGACAGGACAGGTTCTATAGCCTTGGATGGCAACTGGTCTACCGCAGAAAGAAATGGAAACTTACTGCGGGAAAAAATATCTGCCTCGTCAGTCATGTATCGAAAGATACATGATCGCCTAAGCGTGTATCACGCGTGGCACATAACTGAATGAATTTTTAAAGTAACTATCAATATATTACTTTTGCTATAGTAGGAAATATTACTGTATATAAAAAGCAAGCTCGTAATACAGTCGAATATTAAAACAAGAAATTATGTTCTATATTTCTGAGATGGGAACTATTTACATTGTTAGGACTGTTCCCCCCCTCTTTATTATCATATTTATGACGTTTCGACCGTTATACGCCCCGGCTTTCTTCAGGTGATATACGTTGGAAGGACACATAGCCGAGTGGATAAAAGCGTTGGTTAAAGTAAACCAGTGACTTGAATCCCAGAAGTTATGAGCTCAATACCTGGCCACACAAGAGGCGAACAAAAAACTTGGAGAATTGAGTTACTAAAGGGAAATAACTGAAACTAGAACAATCTACTCCAGGTAGAGGTTCGATATTCCAACGTATATTACCTAAAGAAGGCTGGAGCGTACAACGTCCGAAACGTCCTGAATATAACCATATAGATGAGGACGAGAGTCCGAAGAATGTAAAGAAATCATAATAGTGAAAATAACATATATTCTCTTTTTTTATTTTTCGAATGATATTGTTTTATCATTACCGGCATTTCCTTTTAATAACGTCTCTCTTTCTTTCGGCAGGTTAATCGTAGAATTGTGTTAAGGCATATTTAAGTATCATGTGGCTGCTACTACTGCTGAACGTTGCCGGTAATTTGTTACAATAATTCCTCTTGCAGTGATGGTGGTAATAATAATAATAATAATAATAATAATGATGATGATCATCATCATCAGTAGAAATAACCGTGAAAATTTCACCATTTTCCTATTTTATTTTTTTAGTTAATGACTCATTACCATCTTCCCGACTATAAGATATCCGTGGAAATTCCCCAATTGTTTCTCTAATCATTTGAGCTTAACAATTTTAACAAAATCTTACAATAACACTCATAAGTACGAATGCAGGTCGTTAAAGAAGAGGGTACAAATGAAAATATATAAAACTGATGAGGTTTTCTATTTAACTGAAGCAGACATTAAATACATGTGAGCTTTATCGCTTCCTCTATTTTTATTTCTTTCTTTCCCTAAAAACAAAAACACCTTTGATATATATTTTCTTTCATCTATCGTCACAATCAAACAGGAACCATCCATTGTTTATCTGTGGTATAGCAATTCGTAATTTAGGTTCTAAATAGCAAGGTAAGTAACATGCAGAATTAAAATATTATAATAATATCGATTGAGTAAATGATATTAAGCTGTCCGAATGGGTATTAATGACTGTCTCAAGTAAACTTATAGTCTACGGTTGCGAGTGTTCAGCGTAAAATTAGTCTACCGGAGGCCACATTTTCGCATATAAGACGCAGGGTGATTTTTGAGGTATTTGTTGTGGCGTGCGTGTTATATATTGTCACTGAAAACTTCTTTGAAAATTCTTTATCATGAGACTCTATCTGTGCATACCATTTAAATTTCATAATGTTTTTACTGTGACTAAAGTGGGATGAGAATCTCAAGGAATAGGAAATATACAAGACAACTTAGAAAAAAAAATTAAAATCTCCCAATCTCTTACTTGAATCGTTGCTAATTATTATTAATAATTGTCCCATATTTCTTTTTAATTCTAATTTCATTACAGTAATCCGAATGTAAATAGTGTAAATGATTTTTTTATTGCTTGACCTTGCTTTTTACAGCTTATCAACCTTTTTCAGGTTATTTAAAGCCAGAACATTCTTTTAGGTTGTAAGAATTTCTTAGAGATAATAATGATTTTACTGATAGAAGCGCTACTAATTAAGCCATAGTTGCGGGAAGAAGTTGTGGATTCATACCTTTCCCTAGGGTATTTGCGCTTAAGTGAATATAACTTTACTGGAACTGGAATTCGGCTCTCTGACATCCAATTCCGAGCGTTAACCATTAGATCAGCTGTACATCAAATCCCACAGCACCTGTTATTCGCAAGCGGTCACCCATCTAGGTACTGACCAGACTCAACATTGCTTAACTTCGGTGATCATACGAGTCTCCGGTTTTTCAACGTAATATATCCATAAGCCGAAATAATTTGTGAAGTGAGTCGTTGTCGGATAGATGCCACAATTGATAATTAATTTTTTTTCCTGTGGGAACCTTTTGTCGGGAGGTAAATCTTTGATATTTTTCAAAATCAGACGTTCAGTGCAGTATGTGTGTTCTTTCTCTCTCCTTTCCTTCGATAATAAACTGTCTTTGAAAAATGCCGAAATCAGACAACTTACAGAAAATATGGTTGCTTTGCGGCAGATGTCATTTTTCAGGCATTTAATTTTGACTGCATTAGTATTAGTCAGAACAGACGGACTTTTTTTTTTCTGACAATTAGATTTAGAAAAAGAAATTCTTCAGTAGAGTGAGAAACCATTTCTTTTGATTGCTTCCTGCTCTCTTTGCATTGTTAGGTGTCTATGAGGTGTGTTGATTCCGAGAAAGATGCTCGACCCTCACCCAGTTTGTTTACGATTACTTGGAGATGTATAAAAACTGACATCAGTCGATGGAAAGGTGGAGACCTTAGCTAGAGTACGAGAAGCTTCTCCGGGCCAAAAGCGAACTGGCATTTTGTACGACAAAAGGAAATTGTTTCACCGGAGGTCTCCTCAGAGATACTGAAGTGGAAGCTGCAAAAGCTCGGATGAAGTCCCGGCTAGAGATTGCTGGGAGAGAGTGCGAACATTGGCTGTAATAGTCGGTGGGGAGTGCTTATAGGCCATCGACCCTCCGGCAGTCGATCATTTGCTGTCATTTCAGAGATATTTTCGAGATAGAAGTTACAGAAAGAGCGTGAGAAAGAAGCTATAAAATTGACAATGGCAGTTAGGCGGTAAGAAGGGAGGCATTAAAATGGCGTAATCTTTGCATTGTAATTTTTATTATTATTGTTTGTGATGAGTTTAAAATCCTCTGATGATGCAAGAGAAGAGAACAAGGATATATTACTACTACTACTACAATTATAAAAACCCCTAAGATCAATAATTCGAAGAATGATGAAATAATAATAATATTTTTAAAGGCGTTAGAAGTGTTTACAATGATGACTCGTTCTAACGAAAGAAGTAGCGATTAAATATTATGGCGAAAGAAAGAACAGATGAAGGGAGAAATGTGACTAAAAAAAATAGGGAAATTAAAATATTGAAATATTAGAAATGATATAAATTAAAAAGGGTGGTTGGAGTGGGGAGAGAAATATAACACGAAGTGAAAAGAAAGAAAAAAATATCCAAACGGGAGATTTTTTTAAAAAACTTTTTCAGCGCTGTTAGTAGTAGTAGCAGTAGTAGTAATATTACTACTACTGCTACTACTACTACCATCACCATCCCGCCCAGACATAACAGGATAGTGACATATGTGCATTGGAAGATATGCAAGAACAACAAAATCGAAGCCACTGAGAGATGGTATGAGCACCAACCAGACACAGTTACCCAAAATAACGATGTAACTATCCTCTGGGACATGTCAATTCAAACTGACAGGGAAATAAAAACCAACAGACTTGATATTATCATAAAAGACAAGAAAGAAACCTCTATGAAAAATATCGAAAAATTGTCGAAATAGAAGGACAAGGAGAACGAGATTAACAAGATGTGGGGAATGAAGACTGGGACTGTAGCAATATTAATCGGGGCTCTGAGCCTTGTGAGAAAAGGAATGAACAATTTTACTAACAGTTTCCCAGGTAACATCAATATACAGGTTCAACAGAAGATAGCCCTACTAGGAACATTACATATACTAAGAAAAGTGCTACCAATTAAATAACAATTCTACTATCGAGCTTAAGGACCATAGTTTGGACCCGGCTCTACAGGATACAAAGCAGGAAACATAACATACACAAATGATAATAATAATAATAATAATAATAATAATAAAATTCATTATTATTGCTAAGAAATATAACTCTTCGCTTTTATCTTTCTTCTTTATCGATATTATTATATTTAGGATTTGTTAGGAAGCTTACGTGAAAAGGAAGGCGATGATAAGAAAAGAACGAGAAGAAGCCAAACAATACGAAAAAAAAATAGCAAAAAATAAAAGGGAAGACGAGAAAAAATGTGAAAATAAAACAAAGAAGAAAAAGTAAAAGTTACCCGTCTTGGCAACCATAAAGCTGCTCTTGACCGGCTGTCGTCCTGACAATGCAAGTAACCTTTAATAATAAATGATTTGTTGTAATCCAAACGGCAACAGAAAACAAAGGCCACCATCTTTGTCTGACTGCTTGCCTGTCTGTCAGGAGTTTGACTGGTAGCGGGAATTTGCAAATCTTCAAGAAATGGGGCAGTTAGACTCTAGACTTGGCTATATGATAAAATCCTCATCACAAATTCACGTAATGAACATTACGCTTCGTTTATTATCAATGTAGGACCAGTACATCTCAAATTGTCTCTTTCTTTCTCTCTGTACTATATTCCATAAGGACAACAGCGATTATGGTTATCCACAGCCTCTAGTTTTTATTTTTCCCTCAGTAATAATTACTCATTTATGACTCCTCTTTATTCTTATGGTTTTTGAGCCTTCATCTATTCTTTCAGTTTTTTAATTCGGTTTCTTTAGTCCTGAGTCTGACGATAAATTAGACCCGGCAGCAAGGCATCTGATTAAGAGATCGAAGGTGTTGAGGAGCTTGGAACCACCTTTTAATTACTCTTGCTTCCAGATCCGCCTTAACCTGGGGTGGTAGCACCTGTTAGGGTCATAGCTATGGGTAAATAGTGCACCGCCAAGCAAAAAAAAAAAAAAAACTATATGAAAATATAAAAAAAAACATTTTTAAAGTAAAAATGCCAGCAGTACATTTTTATAGAAAAAGAATTACATTCAATACATTTTAAAGCAAAACGACAAGCAAAACATTTTTATCTGTAGTTGAAGGTATACTATGGCATTCAAAATATATTTAGTTGAAGGCTTACAATGGCGTTCAAAATATATTTAAGTGAAGGTATACAATGGCATTCAAAATATATTTAGTTGAAGGCATACAGTTACGTTCAAAATATATTTAATTGACGGCTTACAATGGCGTTCAAAAATATTTGGTTGAAGGCATACAACGGCACGTATTTAATTGAAGGTATATAACGGCGTTCAAAATGTATTTAATTGAAGGCATACAATTACGTTCAAAATGTATTTAGTTGAAGGCATACAATTACGTTCAAAATGTATTTAGTTGAAGACATACAATTACGTTCAAAATGTATTTAGTTGAAGACATACAATTACGTTTAAAATGTATTTAGTTGAAGACATACAATTACGTTTAAAATGTATTTAGTTGAAGACATACAATTATGTTCAAAATATTTAGATTTCAGCAGTAAATAACGCATAACGTTTTATGTTACTAAACAAAATCAACCAACCAACAATTCAGTTTCTTGCGATTTATCTCTGCTTGCATTGTTTTTATTGTGTTAAATTCTTCAAACTTTCTAGTGTAATTCTTCTCATGTGCCGTGTTCTTTCAGAACGTAGGCGATCGTGGTTCTCCACAACATTATCTTTTTTTTTTTTGTTGCTCTCAATAATTTTTGCTTCATTTCTTTTGTTTAGCCATCCATTCATTTAAACTCATTAAGTAGGTTACTCACAGTTCCCCATACCGATTATCTTTTTTCAATTGTCTGTGAATGTTAAATTATTCAGCACTATTTCCTCATTATCTTTCCCTTAAATTCCCTCTTCCTTTTTCTGGTTTTCAACAAAAATATATTAGTAATTTCTTTCCCCTTTAAAACTTCATCATCATTTACATATTTTCGCTGCTACAAAGTAGAGGGACTTGTACTTGCTTCCTTCAGGTTATTGACGACCATAGCTCTCCGCAACTTCCTATCCTTTGTAGCTCTTTGTAACGTTTGTCTTTTTGCCATCCCTCTCAACTCTCGTTTTGCAATCCAATTACACAAACTCGTAAGGTAGGTATTTCGCTTACCTCTCTGTCTTTATTGCCTTTGATGTCCTGTGAGTGTCAAATTATCCAATCCCTTCTTCCTCATTATGTGTCCCAGAAATATCAATTGTCTCTTTTGGATTCGAAGTGTACTTTTTGCTTCCAATTTCATCGTTGCTTACCACCCCCCTGTCCATGGTATTCTCAGCATTCTTTTGTAGGCGTTTTTCTCATCTTCTGCATTCCCTGTCATCCAAGACGATTGGTATTACACAAAAGTTCAGCACCCTTTTCTTTGTTTCCAATGACATCTTCCAGTTTCTTAGTACTTTGATTTCCTTTGCTTTTAGAATACCTTTTTCTCTAATTCAATGCGTGTTTGGATTTCGGTATCACAGTTTACATCCATTGTAAAAATACCCCCCCCCGATATTTAAACTTCTGTACTTGTTTTATGTTGACATCTCCAATTCGTAGTTATCATCTTGAGCCTTTCCTCCTCCTGACAACCACACATTCTGTCTTTTTACAATTGATAGTGGAATGATACTCGTTGCTTCTCCACGTTTTCGGATTCAAGACTAACCTTCTTTTAAACTGGCTGCCAGCCAAGACTATATAGTTCCGTTATTTAATCCTTATCTGGGGAGGAAGAAGAATTGGATTTATTTTCCCCAAAGTCCGATGTGAATATAAACATTCTCAGTGAACTTTGAACTTTGTTCGCTGTTTCCAGTTTCCGTGCTGCTGTTAGTTTGCTCGCACGACCTATATTGATCTATTAACAACACTTCAGTTTCATTTTCTGTTTTTCTCAATAAACTATCACTAGAACAAAATGAATATATAACCTATGTCACGATTGTAAAGTTAATCCTTCCTTCGCTACCGTCATCTCATGCTTCCGCTGTTTTTTCTCTAATTTTCCTTCTTCGATGTGTATTTGACCTTTCTTTTTTTTTTTCATTTTCTTTGCCTTTTTTTCTTCTTCAGACTTTCCGTAAAGAAAAAAAAGTCATTTTTGATTCCTATCAGATTAGTTGAGAAATGATTTTCGGTAAAAGCTTTTCACCAAATA